GGCCTCCCTTCTCTGGCGTCAGCTGCACAATGGCAGGCCCTGGCCCCAGCCCTGTGCTTGTCACCCACCCCGATTTCCCTGGCCCCCAGCTGAGCAGCAATAGGGCTCTGTCCCCCACTGCTTCCCCCGGCCCCTATCCAGGGCTCGCTGGAAGCTGAGTAAGTCTTCTGTGAAAAATGATATCTGTATGTTTGTTAATATCACTTTTCACAGCAGACTTAGCAGCTAGCTTGGAGGCTGTGAAAAGGGATATTGACATACAAGTATCACTTTTCACAGCAGTAGACTTGCTAGCTAGGCAACCAAAAGAAAGAACAATAAAGACAAGAATGTGCCAAACACCTTATTTGTGTTTCAATTTTGTTTAGGTTTAGTAAACCATAGACACAACTGAACATTATTTGTATTTTTGAGTCTGCAAAAACACCCTACATAGACATGTCCAAATCACTGTCATTTGTTTGCATGCATATGTATTTGTTTTTCCTAAAGTTAATTACGTATTTTAGGAAAAATAGACAGAGCAGCCACTTGCAAGAGTGGGTGGCTTCTCTCTAAGGTCATCAAAATGTTGTTGTGAGAACTCCTGCACTAACCCCATGTCTCCCTCCCCAGGCACAGAGTGAGGACCGCTCCTCACTGCTCTCCTTGTTCCAGCACCTGAGTGAGCTGCGGGGCAAGGAGCGCTCACTGTTGCATGGGGAATTCATGATGCTGCCCACGGTGCCGAATGTCTGTGTCTACCTGCGCAGCTGGGACCAGAACAAACGCTTCCTGGTGGTCCTCAACTTAGCTGGCACCCACAGCTCTGTCACCCTCTCCCACTCTCTCCTGCCTTCTGAGGCCACTGTGGAGCTCAGCACTGACCCCCAGCGCCAGGAGGGGCAGCTGGCCCTGCAGGGCCTGACATTGGAGCCCTCTGAGGGGTTGCTGCTGCATTTCCCCTATGTAGCCTAGGGGAGGAGGCCTCCCCTGCGGGCCAGGGCCTTCCGTGTTCCAGGGAGGGGTTTTATTCATGTGAGTCCTACTAACACCCCCAGGGGCAGCACTGAGGCCTTGGGGCAGGAGGAGGGAGCTGCAGCCATAAGGTAAAGAAGACCCCTAGGTTCTGCTCTCCCGAGCCCTGGATGTCTGTCCTGATACACCCCACAGGGCTGGAGGGGGGTGGGGTGGGGAGCTGGTGCTCGGTGTGCCCCAATTCCTGCTAGCCTCACTTTGGCACCATCCTCAGGGATGCTATGGGAGCTCTGAGCTGATGTGGGGACTGAGCTCTGTGACATCTGTTTCCCCATGGTGGGGTAGCAACTAGATTTAGGGACCAAAGGGTTCAGGCCCCACTGGCTGCAGCTTCACCCTCCCCCAAAGTCATTCCAGCTCCTGAGGGGCTGGCCCTGCCCTGCTGTTATCCCCCCACTTGGGGTCACCCCCTCCTTTTGGGTGCCCTGTATGATGGGATAGGTAGGGATGACTGATCAGGACCAACAGTCTGTCTCTCCTCCTCTCTCCCCCCTCCCCATGTTGTAGTGGCCAGTGCTGTGTGTGAAATGGGGTTGATGTTTGGGTGGGGGGATGGATGGCTTTGTGCTGGGCTCCTCCGGAGTGCTGCTGGGATCAGCATGGAAATAATAAAAGGCTCTGCTTAGTGATTCTGGCTTGTCTCTTCCTTTAGCGTGGCCCTGGCATTTGCCCCCTATGCTTCAAGTGCCCCACGGCCTCCTTGTTTTCCCTGTGGCTGCTTCATGCCTTAAGGGAGGGGGGAAGGAGGACCCCTTGCACTTCATCCTCACTGGCTATCTCTTCTACTGCTGCAGGTTCCTACCTGCACTGTGAGGACCCCTTTTCCCCCCTCCTGTGACCACTGAGTAGCCTGGGGGCAGATCTCTGCAATTCAGGGGTCTGGGTGCTGCCCTGGAGCAATCTGCCTAGCATGGGGCTGGTGCTGTTAGTGGAGATGGGTTCCCCTAACCTTGGCTGTGCCTTCAGGGTATGGACCCATCACAGATTGTTCCCTCTGCATTAGGGGAGGAGCAGTTGAGCTGGCAGCCCTAGGCCAGCCCCCCCCCGGATGTGAGAAGGGGGTTGATTCTATCTGCAGGGCTTGTACCAGGCCCCTAGGGTCCCACCTGGACAGCTACCTTTATGGGAAGGATAGAGGGGTGCATGCTGGGCCCACCTGTCAAGGACCGCCCCCCTAGCGCAAGGCACTTGGCAGAGGAGCCATGGGCACTGGTGCATGCTGGGAGCTAGTGTTTTAGCGTGGGGAGGCCCCTACTGCTCCCTATGGGCACTTTACACCTTCCCCTTTAACACGCCACCTCGCCTTTAAATCCACCTGCTCTTCAGTGCCCGTCCTCTTTAACCCACCCTGGCCGCTTTCTGTCGGCCGAACGCCGGCCCCGCCGCCGCCTTCCCCTTTAAGCAGTCTCCCTGACGCATTGCAGGTGGGAGCCGGCCAATGGGCTCGGGGCAGGCGGGTCACGTGGCCGTGCCGGGCGGGCGGTATTTAAAGGGCTCGGTGCAAAACGCAACGGAAGGCCACTGCTGAGTCCGGGACTCGTTGCGGGCGGAGGGATCTGGGCGGCGCGGCCCGGGCGGAGGGAGCCTGAGACCACGGGGAACTGAGCGGTCGTAGCACCAGCCCCCCGCCGCCGCCGCCATGGCAAGAAGGGGGGCTCGTGGGGGGCTGGGGCGCTGCTGGGGCTCCCTGGCAGCGGGTGGCGGAGCGAGGGGGTGGGGCTGGGGGCCAGGGGCACTGGGGGCGGCGGGGAGCGTGCGCGGAGAGAGCAGTGGGGGGTCGGGAGCCTGGTCCTGAGTGTTGGGGGGGCGGAAGGTGGCACTGTTGGGGGGAGGGGTCCAGGCCCCAAGACTGGGGCTACTAGGCCCGCTTCCCATTGGCTAGTCGGGAACAAGTAGTTGGGGGGCAGTTGGAGACAGCAGCCATGCTGCGTCTTGCGGGAGATGGGCGGCGTGGGAACTCCAGGGGTGTCTGGGGTGTAGGGCAGAGTCTCTTCCCCTAAGAGATTGGGTGGGAAGGGGGTGAGGCTGTCTTTGGGGGGCAGATGGCCCGGGGGGCAATGGGGTATAGGGCATGGCTGGGGGGAGGGTGTCAGACAGTCGGCAACAACTCTGTCTCTTCTTGCAGGCAGACCAGCTGACAGAAGAACAGATCGCAGGTGAGACACCCCTTCATCCTGCAGCCCCAAAATTATCTTTTATATGGGGGAACCTGGTGCTTCACAATATGGTCAGGCCTGGGCCCAGGAGCCTGTTTGCCCAGGGTGCTGGGGGGAGGGAGGGGACTGCAGGGAGAAGGGACCCTGTGGCAGGCCCCCATGGTACTGATTCCTCTCCTCTCTCCTGGCAGAATTCAAGGAAGCCTTCTCCCTTTTTGACAAGGATGGGGATGGCACCATTACCACCAAGGAGCTGGGTACCGTCATGAGGTCCCTAGGGCAGAACCCCACCGAGGCAGAGTTGCAGGACATGATCAATGAGGTGGACGCTGATGGTGAGAGGGAACTGTGAGACGCGTGGGGAGTGGGAATACAGCCACTGCACTGGCGGCAGTGGGGGTGCGGGGGGGAGTGATCAGAGCTGGGAGGTAGGACTCCTGTGTTCTGTTCTTAGCTATGAGCTTGGAGAAGTCTTTTTCCTGCTCTGTGCCTCAGTTTCCCTTACCATTCTTTGTCTGTTTAGACTATGAGCTCTGGGCTAGGGACTGAGAGAAGGATTTCTAGGCTGATCAGGGGAATGGAGAGGAGACCGAAAGAGCTGGGTTTGTATAGTTTGGCTAGATGAAGCTTGAAGCGTGGGGGGGTGGATCTGATTGTTCTCTGTAAATATAGCAGGGAGGAAACCCCAAGGAAGATGAAGAGTGAGTTTCTGGAACAACCTCCCAATAGGAGCAAACATTTATATGTTTCTGATTGAGATTTTGACGGGCCTGCCTGCAATAGCAGGGCCTGGACTTGATGACCCAGGAGGCCGCTTCTAGCCCTATGTCCCTGTATGATACACCTAATCCCAACCCCTGGTACTATCCCTCCTCTGGGAGTGCTGCTGTTTACTATCCTGCTCACACAGCTGAAGGTCACTCACGGCTGAGCTGAGAATCACCTCATCCTAGGGCCTATCACTTCTGCATCCCAAAGTGATGCAGGCCCCATGGAGAGCTGCCTGTTCCTGTTCCAGTGTGTGGGTTGTACCTGAGTTAAACCCAGGGGGTTGACCTAAGTTTTGTAGGCCAGTCCCCTGCCCAAACTACAGAGCTCTGGGGTTTGTTTCTAGGCTCCCCACATCTCTTCAGAGGGGGTGAAGAGGAATCCCCTCAAGGCAAACCCACCACTGGAGGGAAGGGGGTGTTTCAGTGAATTCCCCAGAGCTCCCTGCCAGTACTTGGGTGTCTGGATTCGTGGGAGTAAGGGTACTGGATGCTGGCGGGGGGGGGGGGGGAGTGGCTATGCAGGTCATCCAACCCAATGTCAGTTAGGCCCGGCACTAATGGCCTCTTCCCCTGCCCAAGGGAATGGCACCATTGACTTCCCTGAGTTCCTAACCATGATGGCAAGGAAGATGAAGGATACGGACAGTGAGGAGGAGATCCGTGAGGCCTTCAGGGTGTTTGACAAGGTGAGGCAGGGGGGCTTCATCCCCCTTATCCCTGGTGGCTGTGCGTGTCCCCCTCCCCCCTTTTTCCCCAGGAGCTCCAAAATAGCAGCTGGGGCTAAACTCCTCCCTGCAGGGACAGCTGAGTCCAATACTCCCTCCTGTGTGCATGTGCTTCACAACTGGACACCTCCCCCTTCCACATGGGGTTGGGGGCTGGAGTCATCAGCTACCTGAGATAGGTGGTTGTGTGTGTTGGGGGAGGGGGGGAATGCGGTCTACCTGCTTTCCCCTCCCCAGGGCCTGTGCTGAGGCTGACAGGATGGGGTCCCTGTGGTGCTTGTGCTAACTGGGAGCAGTCCTATGGCCCCCTTGCCTGACATGGTGCCTGCCCCCCCAGGATGGGAATGGGTACATCAGTGCAGCCGAGCTGCGCCACGTCATGACCAATCTGGGTGAGAAGCTGACAGATGAGGAGGTGGATGAGATGATCCGGGAAGCTGACATCGATGGTGATGGACAGGTCAACTATGAAGGTGAGGGGGGCGGGGCAGCTTGCACTGACTGTCCAAAGGGCACAGCTGCTGCTTAGGATAGTACCACTCTGCAGAGGGCACTTGCTCCCTTAAGGACTCTCCAATGTAGTAGGTAGGATGGGTCTGGGAGTCAGGATGCCTGGGTTCTCTTTCCAGGTCTGCTGCTTTCTGCCTCTTGCATTGTGACAGGCATAGCCTGGTGAAGGGGCTTGGAAATGTCACAAATGCTGTTAACTCTAGGGAATGGGAGACTTAGCAGAGCACCTCCAAGTGCAGCCTGGGTGGGGGCGGGGGGATGGTTTCTGCCTGAGAGAAGGCAGGGGTGGGGTGAATCAGGCTTGTCTCATGCTCTCTGACCCTGTGCCTTTGCTTTACAGAGTTTGTACAGATGATGACAGCTAAGTAGGCTTTGGTAGGGCATCCCCCTCACCTGTACAGACTGGATGGACTCTTCCTACTGCTGCCACATGTCACCCCTGCCCTGTCCCAGGTGCCATCCTGTCATCAGCAGCTGCTCTCCTTTGAGGACAGTGCATGCTTTCACCTCTTCTGCAATGTGTGCTTGTATGCTGGGCACCACAGGGACAGGAGCCCAGCAGGGCCTATGGCCTGCTTCCCCCAAGTGTTTTGGTGGAGCAGGCCCCTGGCTGCTGGAGGGCTCTGCAAACTGCTTTCCATCTGACAATTCTTCCCCCTCCCTCCCATATTCAGCATCTCACCTGAATGCTCATGGACTGTGGTAGGGCAGCTGACAGTGTCTCTTTGACTGGCCACTGTTGCCTTCCTGGACGTGTCTGCATATGTTGGATATTGTGACTGTTAATTTCTTAACTGCTTAATATTCACCCCCCTTAATCTCTAATTCCTTTCCTCCCCTCCCCCCCCAAATCCATATTGGCTTCCGGGGATGCTTCGGTTCCATTCCAGATGATGTAAGGTTTTATTTTCAATAAAGTCTCTGTGTGGTTTCTATTCCAAGTGCTGCCTCAGCATGTTCAGTGCACAACTCCATTGGAGGAGCCCCAGCACCCTGTGGGGCTTGGTGCTATATTGATAAACCAAGCGGGGTGGTGTGAGTCTATAGGCAGAGTCTAGTTGGTGTGGTGTGGGCTAGTTTCACCCTAGGGCAAAGCAGGTACAGCAGCAGCAAAAAGTTACTATGACCTCCTGTAAATGTCTGGGTCAGGACTTGAACCTAGGTCTCCCAGAGTCTGTGTAGCTTGAACTCCTGCCAACACTGCTAGTGTATAGTGAAGCTACTATCTAGATAGTCCACTGTTGAGACCCCCTGGTACTACTGAAAAAAAGTCTGACTTGTAAAATATGCTATTTATATACTAAACTAGAACCCTCTTAGGCCAGTACCAGTAATTCTATTCTCAACAGTGCCATATCTCAATATACAATATATATATAGTGTCTACAGGCCAGCTTCATGGGTTAGTTACTGTAGCAGTGTTAGGCTGCACAGCTGAAGTCCTGCTATGTCACAACAGGCTACTATCCAGCATCAATCACTGTACTAAAAGACAGCTGCAGCTAGTCCTGCTAACACTGCCTGCAGTAAAACTACACTAGAGAACAGTTGATTATGCTATGCCTGATGAGAGACAATATCCACTAAGCTAGCCTGTGGACAGTGGGCTAGCACACTCCTCCTCCCCACAGCACAGGTCTTCTCCAAAGGCTTAATCAGAGTAGGCGGCCTGGGCCTCGCCGACTCCCAAACCTGCCCACTATTCACCTACTCTGGACACCTTGCTCCGGGAGCGCCGCCAGCTGCATTTATACTGACTTCTCTCACCTCATTGGCCACTGTCAGAACCAATGAGAAGCGGCCTCGCCCCACGGAAGTACTACTAAGAATGGGTGGCGCGCGCAGAAACGCCTGGGCCGCTGGGCACGTGGCTACGTTCTTAGTTGGGCTAGGCGGCTTCGCTTTGCCAAGCAGCGGGGTCCGGAAGCTGCCGCAGCCCGCTCCAGCGCCCCCAGGGGGCTTGAGATGGGCGCTGTTTCCCGTCATACCCAGCAGCAGCCCAAGGAATAGAGCTCCCCGCCCGCCCGGACCCGCACAGACTCGGTGGCGTCAGAGGAGTTTTATTCTCAAATACAAAATACAGGTGGTTCGCTCAGACAGATGAGAGGCGGCCCCCTGGGCGGAGCTGCAGGAGCTTGGGGTCCCCCCAATCCCACGTCATCCTAAGGACTGGGGCCCCGCCCCTCCCTTCTAAGTGCAGTTGCACGGGGGGCCTCGGACAACTGCCCACATCCCGAAATCCTCAGCCCCTGAGTCTTAGCTGCTCTCAAGGGACAGAAACCAGGAAGCTGCGGGGGGATGCTCAGAGCCCCAGCTCCTACCCAACCCCGACTGGGGCGGTGAGTCGGATAGACGGGGTCGGGAAAGGGCAGCTGCAGGAACAGACACTAGCCAGCCCGGGAGGGCGGGGAAAGGAACACAAAAGATGGCAGCACCCAGGAAGTGGGATGAACCCAAGCCCCCTGTTCCCCATTCTGGCCTCTGACTCCCCTAGGGACCTGTCCTCCTTTCCCCCACCCACCTCAATCTTTGGAGGAGCCAATTGCACAAACACCCCTTAAAGTGACTGATTCAGGCCCCCCCACCCCCAAGTCTAAACTAGTCGTCTCCGCCCCCAGTAAGCTTTTTCTGCCCATGCTTCCCCTTCATCTGGCTCGCTCTGAAGGGACGGTCTAGGGATTAATTTGCTTGGGTGGTGGCTAGCTTTAGCCTCACTCCCAGCTGGGGAGGAGGGGGGCTGTACTCTGAGACCACCCCAAGCACCCACCCCCAACATTTTTAGTTTAAAAATAGATAGAAATTTCTGTCTCTTAATAAAAAAAAACTCTTCCCTTTCCTTCTCCCCCCACTCCAATCTTATCCAGGGGGTGCAATTCTAGCCCCTCCCTTGCAGGGACTAAATGTGGGGTACTGTTCACCTCCCTCCCATGTGCTCCATTGCTCAATGGGGGTCCTGCCCCATTCCCCTACAGCAGGGATATCGGATTAGCAATGGAGCTGGGAGATGGGGGAGATATTGATTGGGACATCAGCTGGGTCTGGCCCCTTGTGCTGGGGCTCTCCCGCAGCATGCAGCCCTGAGGGGAGATGGTGCCCTATACTGCCTGCCTGCCCACCCACCCTCCCCCCAAAAGAAAACGATTAAAGAAAAAAATAATAGAATACCACGTAAACCCCCCCCCCCTTTGGCTGGGCTAAGGTGACCCTACCGGTCTGACCTTCACTTTTCATTCCAGCCCCAGAGCCTGGCTGAAGGGACCTGCCCTCAGATCTTAAGGGGTGGTGGTGGCAGTACTCACAGAATCTCCATCCCCTGTAGGGAACAGCTTCCCCTTCCCCTGCAACAGTGGTGTGTGGGGTGGGACGGGGCAACCCTGAACTGTCGTGGCAGAGATGGACCCTAGTCTGACCTGGAAGCCAACGGAGGGTATGTGTCTTAGAACAGCTCCACAGGCATGTGCATCCACCCCAGAGACACCTCCTTGCCCTATGGCCCCCACACCTGCCCCACAAAACACCACCCATAATCACCCCAGGGCTGCCCCACTTATCTGTCAACCCAAAGACCACCCTCACTTTAGCTCCTAGGGGACTTCACATTTCTGTCACACAGAGACAACCCCTTATGGCCCCCAGACATACACAGGGCAACCTCCAGGTTTAAATCAAAATGAAAAAAACAAAAACAAGATGAATGAAAAAACATGTCCACATGGGAGGGGGGGAGCAGAATGCCCCCCAAAGAGGCTCATCCCCCCCCTAAAAAACCCCAAATGAGATACCCGCCCACATTCTCCCCCACAAGCAACAGAGACAATAAATAGCCCCCCCTCCTTGCCCCACAGGTGCTACGAGGGGGGGTTGTGGCGGCGGCCAGGTGGTTTGGGGCGGGGGGGCCGGGCGGGGAGTGCTGAGGAGGAGCCGGAGGAGGAGGAGGAGGAGGAACTGCGCCGGGCCTCGGCCCCCGTGCTCGACATCTTGAGTTTGCGGCGCTTGGCCAGGGGGGCGTTCTCCACACTCTTCAGGAAGAAGCCCTCGCGCTTGCCTTTGTTGAAGGCCTGGGGGGCAAGATATTGGGGGTGGGGGATGGGATGAGACCCAGAGATTCACCCCCCAAACTTCTCCCTGCCCCGGTCTGTTCTGTCCACACCCACACCCCCACATGGCCTATTCCCCATCCCCACCCAACCTATTCAGATGCTCAACTCTCCCTGCCTGACACTATCCTCCCCCAAAGCCTCAACCCATCCCCCCGCCCCTGCCTACGAGCCAGTCCCAACATGAGGGAGACTCAGCCAGCTCCCCTGCCCCCAACCAAGGCTGCTTCCTCCTCCACCACCACCCCAGCTCCCTCATGGCCATGCGCCAGACCCTTCCCCCTCACCATGAAGGCGGCATTGACCCCTGAGCGCACGGCGGGCCCTGAGGACTCCAGGATGTCAGGGGTCATGAGCGGGGTGGAGGAGAGGGCGCTGCCATCCTGCAGCCATTCGCTGTAGCGCAAAGTCGACATCTTCAGCCGCTTGGAAGGGTCCACGGTCAGCAGCCCTGGGGGTGGGGGAAGGGGAACACACCCATGGGTTAGTGATGGGGGGGGGCATGAGCAGGATGGCACTTCACCAGCCCTTTCCCTGGGGGGGAGCAATACCCCAGCCCCACATACTGTCATAGTGATGGCCATATCTGTGACCAGCTGCGATTGCCAGGAGTCCCAAGTTATGGCACAGCTCTTTCTAAGCAAGCACATTTATTCTAAAGGTGAAAGCATTACAGAGAAACCCTATGACAGTTCCTACCTCCTGCTAAAGGCTTCACAGAGAGCATCCACCCTGTCTAATGGGGGCCTCAGCAGGCTAAAGTCCTTCCAACCCTTCCCAGGAAGGACTGGGCCCCACCCCGGCCAGAAAGGTCTGACCGTTTGCTGGATCGCAAAGCAGTTCCGAGTCAGTTTAAACTCAGGCTATTTATCCAAAAGTCTCCTCTTAGTCTGTTGGTCTCTGGAGAATCCCATCTGAACAGGGCTATGCAGCCTCTCCAGGGCGAGGGACCTCTCTGGGGTGAGTGAATTTGCCTAATGACCCCTGCCCCACCCCCGCTATTCTTTGATCCTGGAGGGCTGTGGTTCCCCCTCCCCCGTGGAGTTACACAATCCCTGGCCCACAATGATACAGAAACTTAATACAAACCTATTATAGGAAATTGCCAAATTCACACATGCCACCTCCCCCACCTCTTGGGAGAGGGGTTTCCCAAGCCCCACAGCACCCCTTCCATTTGAGGTGGAGTGAGGGATACACCAGCCCCACAGATTCTCACTCCCCCAACCCTTGGAACAGAGTCCTATATATTGACCCTTTATTTCATGCCCCCCCCTCACCTCTGACCAGCTCTTTGGCCTCCTCAGAGACCCCCCTCCAGGCCTCGCCCTCCAGTGAGAACTGCCCCTCCTTGATCTTGTGCATGATCTCAGCCGCATGGGTCAGCGCGCCGCCCTCCTGGCTGCTCTGGAAGGGCACCTGTCCGGACAGCATGGTGTACTGGGGGGTGGGGCGAGAGACAGTGGAGTGGGGGTGTTACCAGACAGTCTGAGTGAAGCTGACTCGGGGCAAATATCAGCAAGCTACCCTAAGGGGGTGATCCCCCAGCCCCCCAAATCCCCTCCCCCATACTGGGGACCCAGCCCTTCCCCTGGGAAGGGGGTGATCCCAGGCACCACCAACCCACATGCGTGGCACAGAGCTGAGCATTTGCTTTTTCCATTCTAAGGGCTCAGAGAGGAACTGAGATTGTGGAAGTGGCTGAGACACCCCAGTACAGACTTCTGCTTTCAGGCATTTCCCTTCCCCTTCCCCTGGAGTAGCCCCATCGGGCAACACACCCTCACTAACACCCCTCGAGGCCCAACAGCTCTTCAGGACACGGTACTGTTACTCCAGAGTCG